ACAGTCCACACTGAAGACGCAGGTGCTCCAGACGATCCTACGACACAAGTACTATTACTACAAATACTACAACTACTACTACTACTACTACTACTACAGTCCACACTGAAGACGCAGGTGCTCCAGCGATCCAGACAAGATCCTCGACGACACGACACAAGTACTATTACTACAAATACTACTACTACTACTACTACTACTACTACAGTCCACACTGAAGACGCAGGTGCTCCAGACGATCCTACGACACAAGTACTATTACTACAAATACTACTACTACTACTACTACTACTACAGTCCACACTGAAGACGCAAGTGCTCCAGATGATCACTCTTTGGAGGTAGAGTGTATGTAGTAGTAGCAGTAGTGGCAGTAGCAGTAGCAGCAGTAGCAGCAGTAGTAGCAGCAGTAGCAGCAGTAGCAGTAGTAGCAGTAGTAGCAGCAGTAGCAGTAGTAGCAGTACTGCAGTACCATGTAGTCTTCTTTGGAGGCGGAGTGGTCTCTTCGGAGCCAGTTCATCGTGTCCTCTGCGTTCCATTTCACCACCTTCCTGCTCTCAGGGCTGGCATTCCTGAAACACACAACACACACAATTAACACACAACACACACACACACACAATATAGTGGGCGGGGTTTGCAGTGAGGAGAGCCTGTGATTGGCTGATACCTGGAGTCGATCATCTTCTTGGCGGCCTCGGCGTATTTGAACAGAAGTTTTCGAGCCTCTTCTTTGTATTTGATTCGAGACAATCTGAAAAAAACAAAAAAAACAAAAAAAACATTTTACAGAACATGAAAATGTGGGTGGTGTTTGGGTATCTGGGAGGTACGTTTTGGTTGGTGGTGTTTTCTTGGTGTTCAGTTGGTGTGTTTTAGTGTTCAGGCGGTGTGTTTTGGTGGTGTTCCGGCGGTGTTCAGGTGGTGTGTTTTGGTGTTCAGGTGGTGTAGTTGGTGTGTTTTTATGTTCAGGTGGTGTATTTTTATGTTCAGGTGGTGTGTTTTGGTGGAGTTTCGGTGTTTGGGCAGTGTGTTTTGGTGGTGTTGAGCGGTGTGTTTTGGTGCTGTTGAGGCGGTGTGTTTTGGTGGTGTTGAGGCGGTGTGTTTTGGTGGTGTTGAGGCGGTGTGTTTTGGTGTGTGGTGAGGTTGAGCGTGTGTTTTGGTGGTGTTGAGGCGGTGTGTTTTGGTGGTCTTGAGGCGGTGTGTTTTGGTGGTCTTGAGGCGGTGTGTTTTGGTGGTCTTGAGGCGGTGTGTTTTGGTGGTCTTGAGGCGGTGTGTTTTGGTGGTCTTGAGGCGGTGTGTTTTGGTGGTCTTGAGGCGGTGTTCGGGCAGTGTGTTTTGGTGGTGTTGAGGCGATGTTTGGGCAGTGTTGAGGCGGTGTTCGGGTGGTTTGTTTTGGTGGTGTTGAGGCGATGTTTGGGCAGTGTTGAGGCGGTGTTCGGGCAGTGTGTTTTGGTGGTGTTGAGGCGATGTTTGGGCAGTGTGTTTTGGTGGTGTTGAGGCGATGTTTGGGCAGTGTGTTTTGGTGGTGTTGAGGCGATGTTTGGGCAGTGTTGAGGCGTTTGTGTTTTGGTGGTGTTGAGGCGGTGTTGTTTTTGTGGTTTGAGGCGTGTGTTTTTGGTGGTGTTGAGGCGGTGTGTTTTGGTGTGTTGAGGCTTGGTGTTCGGTGGTGTTCGGGCAGTGTTGTGTTTGGTGTTGAGGCGGTGGTTGAGGCGGTATGTTTTGTGGTGTTGAGGCGGTGTGTTTTGGTGGTGTTGAGGCGGCGTGTTTTGGTGGTGTTGAGGCGGTGTGTTTTGGTGGTGTTGAGGCGGCTTTGTTGTGTTGAGGCGGTGTGTGGTTGTGTTCGGGCAGTGTTGAGGTTGTGTGTTTGAGGCGGTGGTTGTTGAGGCCGTGTGTTCAGGCAGTGTTGAGGCGGTGTGTTTTGGTGGTGTTGAGGCGGTGTTCGGGTGGTGTTCGGGCAGTGTTGAGGCAGTGTTCGGGCGGTGTTACCTGATGGGGATGTCGTTCATGACCTCTCTGAACATGCTGGGGGAGATGATGGGGTCACAGTCGCTCGGGAGCAGAGGGTCGTGACCTTTATCGATGACCTTTCTCTCCAGGAGCCAACGGTTAAATGACTCACGAGGAGGATCTATGCCTGAACACAAGAGGGCAGCACTGAGTCAACACGAGGATGTACTCCTGAACACATGAGGGCAGAGTTCAGGACTAACAGTAGTCCTATAGAAGATGGGTCTGGTCAAGTGGTAACGGAGGGAAACAGGAGCAGATTTTTGACATTCAAATGTCTCTTATTCAGAAACTAGAGGAACTATTGAAATAAGTAAAGTATCAGAATGTAGGAAAGAGTTACACTCCAACAGGGTCAAGTTAAACCTGTGATATTCTTTCAAGTTGTTGACAAAAAATTTTTAAAACTCATGTCGGTAACGGAGGAAATGAAATATGCAGCACTTTTTGGTCAGTAAATCCAAACAGTGATAACTCTTGGTTCTCACTTCCATATCCTTAACAAACTGGTTTGAATATTTGCTTCATATAGTTTTCTACCATATGGTACAAGATTAGGTTGAAAAACCTCTGACTTATTGACTCATGAGATTTTTTATTAAGAAACGTCATGGTAACGGAGGGAAAAGTAACGGAGGGAAAACTGTACAAACAAGTAGAAGGTGCAGGATTTTACATCATTTGTGGCTTTTTTCTACTGAAAACTTTAATATTACTTCAAAATGAAAGAAACTATTTCTATAAAATATGTCAGTCCTTCCAAGAACATTTTTATCATTTTAAATACTTTTTTTTTTTTAATCCTGTCCCTTCATCAACAGTTCAAAGATGGAATAACACAAGATATGATGAAATACAAACATTTATTGACATGATTTGCAGGTCTTTGAAATTTGGGAAATAATTTTTGTTCCATGTTTCATACATGGTCTGTTTAAAACGGATGGAACTTTAGAACCAAAAATGGAACAGAAAAAAGGTCAACAGTTTCATAAACTAGAGTACATATGTATCTGTTCAATACACTTTTAGATCACATGCATCAACTTGAATTTTTGGTCTTGTTGTTTACTTCTGCTTGACCGGGCCCAGTAGTATTTGCAGTAGTAGTATTTGCAGTAGTAGTACTTTAAACCCCTAACCCTCTGCAGGCACAGCTCGTGGTAGTACCGTCTCAGTTTGGTCATGAGTGGAGACACAAGTATCCGTAGTACTGTAGTAGTACTGTAGTATATGCAGTAGTAGTATTTGCAGTACTGACCCTCTCTCTGCAGACACAGCTCGTGGTAGTGCTGTCTCAGTTTGGT